GGATATGCCAGAAATTGAGATATGAATAATATGGGGAATATTTCACCATTGTGCACTGAATTCTATGGGAAGGATATGCCAGAAATTGAGATATGAATAATATGGGGAATATTTCACCATTGTGCATTGAATTCTATGGGAAGGATATGCCATAAATTGAGCTATGGATAATATGGGGAATATTTCACCATTGTGCACTGAATTCTATGGGAGGGATAGGCCACAAATTGAGCTATGGATAATATGGGGAATATTTCACTATTGTGCATTGAATTATATGGGAAGGATGGGCCAAAAATTTAGCTATGGTTAATATAGGGAATATTTCACCATTGTGCACTGAATTCTATGGGAGGGATATGCCACAAATTGAGGTATGAATAATATGGGGGAATATTTCACTATTGTGCACTGAATTCTATGGGAAGGATAGGCCACAAATTGAGCTATGGGTAATATAGGGAATATTTCACCATTGTGCACTGAATTCTATGTGAAGGATATGCCACAAATTGAGGTATGAATAATATGGGGGAATATTTCACTATTGTGCATTGAATTCTATGGGAAGGATAGGCCACAAATTGAGCTATGGGTAATATAGGGAATATTTCACCATTGTGCACTGAATTCTATGGGACGGAATGCCACAAATTGAGCTATGGATAACATGGGGAATATTTCACCATTGTGCACTGAATTCTATGGGAAGGATATGCCAGAAATTGAGATATGAATAATATGGGGAATATTTCACCATTGTGCATTGAATTCTATGGGAAGGATATGCCATAAATTGAGCTATGGATAATATGGGGAATATTTCACCATTGTGCACTGAATTCTATGGGAGGTATAGGCCACAAATTGAGATATGAATATGGGGAATATTTCACCATTGTGCATTGAATTCTATGGGAAGGATATGCCATAAATTGAGCTATGGATAATATGGGGAATATTTCACCATTGTGCACTGAATTCTATGGGAGGGATAGGCCACAAATTGAGCTATGGATAAGATGGGGAATATTTCACCATTGCGCATTGAATTCTATGGGAAGGATATGCCATAAATTGAGCTATGGATAATATGGGGAATATTTCACCATTGTGCACTGAATTCTATGGGAGGGATAGGCCACAAATTGAGCTATGGATAATATGGGGAATATTTCACCATTGTGCACTGAATTCTATGGGAAGGATATGCCATAAATTGAGCTATGGATAATATGGGGAATATTTCACTATTGTGCACTGAATTCTATGAGAAGGATATGCCACAAATTGAGGTATGAATAATATGGGGGAATATTTCACTGTTGTGCATTGAATTCTATGGGAAGGATAGGCCACAAATTGAGCTATGGGTAATATAGGGAAAATTTCACCATTGCGCACTGAATTCTATGTGAAGGATATGCCACAAATTGAGCCATGGATAATATGGGAAATATTTCACTATTGTGCATTGAATTCTATGGGAATGATATGCCACAAATTGAGGTATGAATAATATGGGAAATATTTCACTATTGTGCATTGAATCATATGGGAAGGATAAGCCAAAAATTGAGCTATGGGTAATATAGGGAATATTTCACTATTGTGCATTGAATCATATGGGAAGGATAGGCCCAAAATTGAGCTATGGATAATATAGGGAATATTTCACCATTGTGCACTGAATTCTATGTGAAGGATATGCCACAAATTGAGCCATGGATAATATGGGAAATATTTCACTGTTGTGCATTGAATTCTATGGGAAGGATAGGCCACAAATTGAGCTATGGGTAATATAGGGAATATTTCACCATTGTGCACTGAATTCTATGGGAAGGATATGCCATAAATTGAGCCATGGATAATATGGGGAATATTTCACTATTGTGCATTGAATTCTATGGGAAGGATCGGCCACAAACTGAGCCATGGATAATATGGGGAATATTTCACCATTGTGCATTGGATTCTATAGGAAGGATATGCCACAAATTGAGGTATGAATAATATGGGAAATATTTCACTATTGTGCATTGAATCATATGGGAAGGATAAGCCAAACATTGAGCTATGGGTAATATAGGGAATATTTCACTATTGTGCATTGAATCATATGGGAAGGATAGGCCCAAAATTGAGCTATGGATAATATAGGGAATATTTCACCATTGTGCACTGAATTCTATGTGAAGGATATGCCACAAATTGAGCCATGGATAATATGGGGAATATTTCACCATTGTGCACTGAATTCTATGGGAAAGATAGGCCACAAATTGAGCTATGGATAATATGGGGAATATTTCACTATTGTGTATCAAATTCTATGTTAAATAAAAGAATATTATTAATTTACTAACTTACGATTTCAAATGCTGCAGTAACGTTGACACCAAAATTACGAGTAAATTCACCCAGCTGTCAATAAAGTAGACGTATGTATATAATAACAAACCAATAATAAAAGCCATGTCTAAATGCTACATTGATATCACACATTGAACTGCATGTTGTCGTATGATACTTTGTACATGTACACATTTGATCTATTAAATATGCAATAATATGGTATACTTATTTCTATTGGAGGTGTGGTGCTAATAGAAGAAATATGGCCAGTATAAAATATGAATACTTTATACAATTAAAAGTACATACCATCATTCCAAAATGGCCAAATGTTGCAGCGTCTTCCAACCTTCGATCCAAGAAAGCCCATGTATCTTCGAAGTCAAAAGATTGGTCCTGAACTAGACTCAGCTCTGCTGATTTATAGACCACTGCTAGACTAGCCCTTTTGGTATACCAACTAAACTGAAGAAGAAAGATAAAGTACCATCGGTGAAATAAATGTATGAAATAAGGTGACCCTAAGGACGATAAAACTGTAAAAATAATTTTGATACTTGCTGAATTTTGATGCTTTTTCATCACAAAAATGACCGCCATTCGGCAATCTTGAATCAGATCATGAAACAAATTGATGTGCATATGTATGATATTATTTATGATGTATGTGTGAAGTTTGAATGTAATCGGTCCAGGCATGTCAATTCATAAATCTTCGTTATTTATCTTATTTCAGTCAATTTGTGATCAAACTGACATATATGGAAATAATTTACAATTTTTCGTTTATATTCGCTTCTATAAAAAATTTACAAATAGAATAAAATATTTATCAATTCATCAACACAAAAGCAGACAAAAGTTTAAAACACTCAAAATGGGAATTAGTTTGATGAGTTTGCAACTTATTCTATTATTATTGCCAAGGAAACTCCATCATCTCCAAACTTTTTAGCATAAATTGTATGTATTAATCCAGTCAGGGGATCCACAGTTTACTGTTTGATGATTAAAACATCAGATTCTTATTTACAGTGAACTAAAGTTTTTTTTTGCATCACAGAAAGTGGTATTTTTTTAATGCAGTTTTCCAATATGCATGTGAATTGAAAGTTTTGGTATGTACAACAACAATCATTTGAGTTTTTTTAATGCCAAGGCAATGTTTTCTAAAACAATAAATCATATTTTAATTTGGCAGTGTGCCCTAAAATTTGGTGTCAATAAACTTGCTACCCAATCGCGTATGAATCACTACACATAACCCATATCAAACACTGATGTAATTTTTAGCCTCAATTTCTGAATGAAATCTCCTTATATGGAGATGAATAATACATAGTCACATGACTTACTGTTGTGGAGCGGTCTCCAGCATAAAACCACATATCATCCATGAGTAGCCCGAGATTCTTGAAATGTTCAGTTATGTTTTCAGGTAGTGCTGTTAGTGCCATTGCCTGAGGCCATGTGTCAATATATGGTGTAATCATCCTTAGTCTGGTTTCTATTGCATCTTGCAGAATTTCAGTGGTGTTTTTCTTTCTAAATTAAAGAAATAATGTGTGAGCAAAGACGATAAGACACATGTTCATTTTTATTTATTTATCTAAATATTACATAAAGTATATTTCGCCATGGAAACCATATTCGAGGACAACTTGACATGGCAGTAACTTAAAGTTGCATTGTCAGCAAAACTTACATGAAAGCCCTTAAAATTTTGAGGAACTTGTTCAGAGCAAGTCTGAGAGTTACAGCATTCATGAATTTATAAGGATCAAAACCATTGATATTCTTTGTCTTCACTACAATACAATTCTCCTCATGTATTGCTATTCAAATTCTGCCCAAAAATACTTTTAAATACTTTATTTTCGCTAAAGTAGTGATTTCCGCGAAAATTAATTCCAGCTGAAATAAAGTATTTTACAGTAACCTAAAAGTGTGTTGAATGATCTGACACAGTGGTAAAAAACAAAATAATCATCCTACAAATTCAAAAGAAATAAGGGCCTAATGTCAATATAGGATGGCTTGCAGCAAAGCAGATTATGTGTGAATATTACTTAACATATCAAATGCTTCAAACACAATTCCACTTACTCTGATGTCTCCTCCCTCTCCTTTGCTTCCCGACAGAGTTTAACTACCAACTCTTTATTACAATGCCTCACAAAATAATGTAAAAGGTCTCCGCCTCCCCTTGGAAACATTCCATGCAGGACACTGGGATAACCCTCCAATATGGCTGCTTCAGCAAGCGATTTTTTAGTCCATCCATACTCTGGTACAAATGACAATCCAGCTCTCAATATTCTTTCTTCTACTTCTTCTTCCTCATGATCCTGGTAAATATGCTCTTTCTCTTCATGAGTGGAATTTCCATTACTAAAAGAAAATAAACACACAGATTTTTCTTTAAAAACAAAAACCAGTTTACAGGAAGCCAAATAGGGGATTTTCCGTACCATTGCGAGATCTCGCAAGATGCATGAAAGACGCGCGTCGAACGTCTGCTGCAAAAATCGAACGATTTGATTTTGAACTAGAATTTCTTTATTTCGTAGCTTACATTGACCGGCCGATCTTCGGCAGAGGAATATTGCTTCCGAATACCCTTACTTAATTGAAATTGCCTATCATCAAATGTGGACAGCACATTATTACAGCCGTTCTGAGAATTATTCGGACAGCCAGTTAGCAAAATGACTTGCAACTTTGCAAAACACTTTGGTCTTTGCCCAATCTAGACTTGTCGGCGCCACTTGAGTGACGGGCGCGTGGTTTGGGATTACTATTTCATAGGGGTTGTCAGCTTGGTGAATTGTAAGTATTATCTAGCGTGCGTTCACAGCAACCATTCTTTATTTTTATGATTATATTGTAATTATTTTCAGTAATTTTGAAAATCACAAGATGGATGTTGCTTAAATCTGTCGAAAAATGTCAACCCCTCGCTCATTTTAGTCAGTTGTACCTGTTACAAAAATGGACTAGACATAATAACGGTCGTTATACCCCGTCATTTTCAAAAGTGATTCGATCAAGCTCAGACTAGTAATACTAGTCTGAGGATCAAGGAAGGCACTTTTGATTTGACAAAATCCATCAAACCATTATAATCGAGTTTTCCGTCTATGTATTCCTGACGTACTCACAGCACCAGTAATGTAAAAACAACTTTTAGTTTGGCGCGAAACTGCAGCGCGTCCCGCTAAGAAACTTTACTTTGAGCCTTCCCGCCAACGACGAGTTCATTAATACCTGGGGTTACTCAACACTCGGGAGTTGTTTTGTAAATTACGCTATGTCAGGTGGACTCAGATGGTTATAACAATTTAAAATAACACTTTGAATGCATATACAACATATAACCTGTTAATATATGGTAACCAGCGCGTGTCGTTTTGAAAACAGCGTTTTACCCGCATCTTGCAAGATAATGGAATGATTCCAATTGTGGGAGTGTCAATACAACGGCACCATCAAGTCTAGATTGGAAAAGACCCAATTGTTTTGCAAAGTTCCAACATATATTGCTAACTGACTGTCCGAATAATTCTCAGAACGGCTGTAAGCATGGAAATGTCCCCGAAATACTTTTGCGTTTGTCGAATCCCATGCGATGTTTGACGTGACTACGACGCTATGATCTTTGTTTGTCCTGTTTTTACATTCGATTTCACGCATAACGCGTGATTCTCGCAGTGAACGGAAAATGGTCTATTACATAATTTCAATGAAAGAATGTCAGTGTATCAAACTGAATGACAGAAATTCGGTGTTTCCACGGTAACACTTTTTGTCAAGTACTGTAAAGTACTTTATTTTCACTTGGAATTTATTTTTCGCTATTTTCAATGAGGGGACAAATCAGTGAAAGTAATTTTTCTTCTATGTTTTAAAAAAAAAATGCCATACAAAACAGTCAAAAATTAATTCCAGCTAAAATGAAGTACTTTATAGTAGGTTAAAAAACTGCAGAACAACAGAGAACCACTGACTCATTTCCATCATTGTGAAACCACAATCTCTTTATGGGGTCTTAGTTAACCTTTTCACCACCGTCCCCTCTTTTCATTACAAAAGATTGGGACAAAATAGCCAAATGTTTTGAGAAAAGCTGAAAATTGACTCAAATTGTGTCTGTTGGCTATTTCCAGAAATATTGAAATATACAAGAAAATAGTGCAGAAAAGGTTAAGATGTAGCTCTTGGTTTCACTAGTTTATAATGCACAAACAAAACATTTTTGCGAAGAGAATAATGTCAATAATTTTAAGATTATTATAATGACATAGCACAGTATGACTGTCAAATGTGACCAACACCTTGAATTATTTCTTCCTTCTGTAGTCGTGCACATCAATCTGATTTGTGATACCAAACAACTTCGGACACCTGAAAAAAAAAAAGATTTTCATTCATTATATATATTATCAGTTCACCCAGGATAAATTATATTTTCCAACCATGCATTCATAAGTTTAAAAAAGTATCGACAAATAAAAAAATTATGGCTTTATATATGTCTCCTTAATCACTGTTCGCACGGTTTATGATATAACGGCACAATAGTTTTCTTTATAACATTTATTGCCTAACAACGTGGTGATGTTTGTAAGTATGATAATTTACGAACCAGATCTAGGTACTTGTTGACTTAGTACTGATTTGTTTTATACATGTACCTGTCTATAAATACAGCTTACCTATAAGTCACCCCCTAGTGACGAGACACTTCTGTGACTATACCAATTAATCAATAAATCAATAGTTATTTAACCAAAAAATGTACATTTGTAATTTACAAAACAAAAGAATCAATCACAAATAGGTAAAATGAGAACCAGAAATAGCCGTGGGCTAATCTAGTCTGATTCCTCAGAAACAAATGAATGACATTGTCTTAGAGGGTGATTTATAATAACCTAAAACTGTATATATATATATATAAATGAAGCAAGTGATAATAATTTAAAATAAATAACGATTATTGAATTAATTTTTCTTTCATTTTTAACTTAAATGATTTCCTTGAGGTAATGTCATATATATTCTGTGGTAGCTGGTTCCAGAGCTTAGGGCCAGTATTTTTAATGGAGTGTTGGCCTGCATTACTACGGTACTTTGGAATGAGTAAATTTCCCTTGGTTTGAAATCTAGTATGATAAGTTTTGGCTACAGGCTGAAAGTAGAATTATTTTAATTACATCTAACCATTTTTGAAGCAATTTATGTTTTGTTTTTTTATTGCCCTATTTAACTTTAATAGTTAACCAGGGATTTTGAGGGAAATTGTTTTGTAATGAGAAAGTACCAGATAATGCTTCATATACTTCGTTACTACTAAACATGTTGGACCAGTCCTGACTTTCCAATGCATTTTTAAATTTGATTATACTAAGCTTGGAGTATTCCCGAAATGCAATTTTATCAGTTTCCAAAAAATCTGTTTCTAAGTCTTGGAAAATTTCAAAGATTGGTAAGTGATCGGATATTTCCATCTCTATTGTCCCAGCACTGAAAAAACTTGAATATTCGGGGTATACATGTATGCGTGAATAAATGGTCAATTACAGTATGAGAGTTTGTTGTTATGTGTGTGGGTACATTAATAATTAGTTTAAAGCTGTAGCATGAGAATGTGTGATACAAATCTCTAACATGACTAAAGTCTAAACTGTTTGAATTAATATTCAAATCACCAACGAAGACACATTCGGAATTAATTGGTAAATTATGAAATATTGAATGATCTAAACCTTCTAAAAACTCAACAACATTTGTGTTTGGTTTTCTGTGGATGATGGCAATTACATTTACCCACAAAGTTTTCAGGAGATTCGCTATATTCTAAATAAATCAGATATCTAGTTGAACTACTATTATTAAATTAAAATATTTCAGCTGGAATTTTTGCTGAAAAGACATTTTTGCTGTTTTATATAGTGTTTATTTTCCCTGACTTTTTAAGAGTTGAATTTAAATTTAGAACATAGGAAAAAGGGTATTTTCACTGGATTATGTTTCCACTGGATCATATCTTTAGTGAAAATAATGAAAATAAATTCAAGGGAAAATAAAGAACTCTATAGTACCATCTACAATCTACAAACGAAGCATACTTGTACTTGTACCAAAATTTGTACTTTATAATTGTATGAATTCGTCACAATGAAGCTTATGACTCATAAAAAAGTTGATCACATGTTATGAAGATTACTTATAATTGATTATTAAGAGTACTGGAGAAAACAATTAACCACCTTTCAGATTTTGAACAAAGAAAGGAAACAATATGGCTATTGCTGGGAGAGTTCATAGGAAATTATCTGCAAAAGAATCCTGAAATTGAATTTAGGAGGTCTCTCTAAAATACTTGCAAATGGCTTTCAGTGATTACATTAAAGGAATTTATTTTTAATTTGGTGATTAGACACCTTGACCAAATTTCAAAGTAGGAATGTTTGTCACTGTGTGATTCTAGCAAGAGCACAACACAGTATCCTCCTGCTCGCATGAAATGAACACAGGTCAAACAAAAACTCACATGTATACAATGTATAACTAAATCAATCAAGTATAAAATAATCTTTGAACAATAAGAGCATAAGGTCAATGCAGTGGTATACATTGAAACCTGCCAAATCATGTGTTTGTAGGGGGAGGGTCAGAGAATGGCAAAAGATTTTGATAGACACTACTGGTAATTAATTAACATGGAGCTTATTTTGTTTTAGTTATTTGAAAAATCTGTAATATTAATACTGTACAATTATTTACTTTCATTGAAGAAATTTTTTCAGGTAAAACAGTGAAATCAGTGAACATTTTGGTATTTTTAAGATGATAAGTCCCAGTGACTATTGCAACATTTCGGCTTTAAATTATAATAAACTTCAATAATTCAAATGTTTTGCTAGTCTCCTTGCATATATTCGCAAAGAGTGTTTTACCGTTTGAATATATCAATAAACTGTTTACACAACAAAACTTTTCTGAACATCCCCTGCATCACATAGTATCAATACAAAATCATCACAAAAACTTCACTTTAAAAGACGGTGGTGATTGTGGTGCATCATTTTATGATATGGAACTCATAAGCGGACATATACACTGCATGCATGATACACTACTTTAATACAAAGTTCAAACATGCACTACGTGGTGACCACCAACCTTTAATTATTATTGCCCAGTAAAATGCCTTCACACAAAAACCATCCCCTTAGGAACTATTTCTACTCTCCTACACATATTTCCTATGCTATATTACATCCTAAGGTGTATGTACCCTTATCAATTAAAGTGAAAATGGTATAATACACTTTCTTTGTTACAGCGCCATCAAGAGTCATTAAGAGTAGGCCTTTTGTTTACATTTTCTTAACAGCGATATTGAAGAAACGGATTCATGTAACAGTTCAGACGATAGATCAATAATGTATCCTCGTATACTGACAGCAAAATAATTGATCTTACCGACTCGTGCAAGATGAAAAAGGGAAAGTTTTCCAATTGTCACACTGCATGCCATGTTCTGCTGTGGTGTTTTGATGATGTATGTTTGTTCGTGTATGTTTACTCGTAATGGATCATTCTATTTATAGATAGGTAAATTACAGCTTTGATTTGAAACACATCAGGCAAGTGTTGACCACGATAACAAAAAGAACACAACATAGGTCGCGTATATTAGTAATTTAAAACTGTTCACAGAATAATAATAGTTATACATGAAATATGCTATCCAGTAAAAGGGGGGCTCTATGCACACAAGAAACTTCATAAACATGGTTTGTTCTTATGAGCGCATTTAAGTTTGTGAAAATTCACATTTTTGGAACGACATTAGTTCTCCGTTGAGGTATGGAATAATGATTTTAAGCGGACAGCATTTGAGATAATTAGGTCTTCTTGGTTGAAAATATCGGACAAGACAAAATAAATACACTTTTATTTACCTTACAAAATATTTGTCACTTAGGGGCCTTGATTCAAAAGCTTAATATCCATCATGGCGGACACTCCCAGTTATAATTTCACTTCCGCCTTCCGCATCAAAGTTTGATTTCCTCTTCCAATCGCAACGGTAATCGCTGTCGACTTCTGGACCTACCTCTGTTCCATGTAATTCACCGGCCTGAGAACGGTGTTTAATCTTCACAAACGATGTCTGACAGCGAAATTCCGCCGGAAACTATAGGCAAGTGATGTTTTTAGATAAGTTTATATGAATATTTATAAGGCGATCAAATCACGGGCTTGCAGTAAAAATGTTTGTTATGATTTCCGTTGTGTTTTTATTTCCAGCAAGTATACAGCATGAGCTGGGAGAAAAGGAAAGGAATAGTGTGAAAAAACTTGTTCGAGTAGAAACTAAGCCCGAGAAATGGGAGGATAGGATTTTGGTAAGTGTCACTTATAAACAAACAAAAAGATGTCAAAAATTTAGCTTTATTATTAATATAAATAATTTTTAATGTGTATGTGATGGCCACAGGATTTCTGGATGACTGTTATGGAGTAGTTTTTATGACTACTCTCATACAGTGGACTGTCTGTATTGCTGTCCGATATCACCATAATGTATTCATATAATTTAATTATATCCAATATATTAGTAATACTGGTATACATAGCTCTGTTTTTCATAGTTAAATTTAAAAGTTGACTTGTATTGGTATTAGCTAATTTAATTATTTGGATAATCAGAGTTTTTAGTCCAAAAACAAAAAACGTATTAAGGTAGCTCAGTACAGTTTCACAATGGTCTTGAAATTATTTTATATTTTGTGAATAGATTTCTTATTGCTATACAAGGTCACCTGTGAAAACAAAGATTGGTTTCCGGATTGAATTTTTGAGATAAACGTTATATTACTGTATGTGGATTACGGAGTTAATACATGGGACTTTATAGAGAAAAACTAAAACCACAACCTGTTTGATTAGAAACTCAAAAGCTAATGAAATAATATGTCTGGAACTACATTTTGTGGAACTAAAATTAGGCTGTATGGACCATTTGCCTATATGCTAACACATGGGCGATAGGTTGTGTTCTCACACAAAAACTGTGCTCCATAACCTTAAGAATAAAACAAAATCAATAATTAACACTGTGTTTACTATGTATTAGTAGCATGCTGATTAATATTTTAAATCCAAGCACGATCAAAATCTGTTGCCATTAATGATAATAAACAGTTAAACATAGCAAGAATTGTTGTACATGTATATATTATTAGACGTCATTACCATAACAGGGCAATAGTGCCTCCCTACAGTACCAGGATGTGTGACCTTCAGAAGGTCGAGCATGATGCCAAATGGAATTCTCTCATTGAATATTACTTTCACTTACCTAACCGAAGACTCTGTAGAGACGTATATGACCTATCAGTCTATGCCGTTGTTCAGAAGCAGGAAGTTTATGTGAAACTAAAATTGATGTTACAATATTTAATATGACATGTTTCCATGACAACATGCAACTATTTCTACAATTAAGGCCAGACTTTTTTTATTCCTTGTTACTCAAGTTTTTATAAGGCAATGTTTTTGAGGAGGGCGGAAACAAAATTAATTCATTTTTTCCATTAGATTTGTGTGATTCTCAAAGAATTGTAAGTGAGATCATTGATCAGAGAGAAGAAATGAAATAAAATTTTATTCCATGTCTAACCTTGTTTCTCATCTGCGCGAGACTTCGGTACTTTGATCATGATACTCCCACGAAAATGCAGCTTGGATTTGTTATGCGGCGGGCGGTAAAAAAAATGAAGATAAAAATAATATTTTTTTAGCATTTGTTGCGCTTACAAGTCGGCGGGCGCGAAAAATTACGCTGAAATAAATTTGTATTTCATTTTCGACTCCTGTTCATTCGGCGGGTTCGCGAAACAAGGGATGATAAAAGTCTGGCCTATTATAATTGACATCTTCATTGCTAGTCACATTAACCTTGTTCCTAATATAACTAAATTATTTGCTCTATTAGAAGTACACATAAGCCAACAGTTGTATTCATTTTATACTGGATCGTTACAGGGCTTCAACTTTAGAGGAATTGAAGGCTCCATGCCCAGGGAGTTTGCCTTGGTGCCCAATACAATTTCTCTACTTGATTAAGTTGTTATTTTATAAAAATTTTGCCTTGAAAATGGTCGACTTATTTTGGCTTGGGTCATTCCTTGTCATTTATGTAACCACTAATAACACAGCAAATGCAACATATTAGCAAGGACAAGAGTATGCGCAGGAATTGAGTGACAATAACAATGCAAAAATGCAAAGGCTCATTTGTAAATGCTTGTTTTTGAACAACAATACACTATGGTCATCAGTCGCATGTGCAGGTGACAACTCTCTCGCTTTAATATCCATGAACAGTGATATGGATTACGATCTTATGATCTCGCGAGTTGTAGTCACATGTGTCAATTCGAACGGGTAAAAATAATTATCGTGCTCAAAGTGTCAAATAGTGTTACCATATTTAGTCAGTACAGTGTGATTCAATTTTTTGGATTTAATCTACTTCCTTGTTGATTGTTTTCATGATGTCATTATCTCAATGTCTATAAAGGCATAAACTTTCTATTGTGATGTATATCCTTTAAAGCCTAATTCTGCCAGCCAAATATACCGATACTTTTACATTGTCTTGATCAACGAAGGGTTAAGCTAACTCTCTTTGATTTCTACTCGACTCTGGGTCACTGCTTTGAATACCAAAGCAATTATACAAAAATAAAATAAAACTGGCAATTTGTCAAGAATTGCTTGTTATCAGTAGTAACCAGTGTTAACTCATCCATGACCTGTATGTTGTTCCACCAGTAGTGTGATGTTGGTTTCCAGGTTTTAGGAATGATGATTTTATTTGAATCAAGACCCACACGTTCTAAATATCACTCTTCTAATTTAGGCCATTTTGGAGAGATTTTAATATTAATATACTGTCTTTAGAAAAGCCATTTATAGCTTGCTAGCAGTCATTTTTAAAAGAGAGGGTCTGTCGTCACACCGTCCTGTTCAATATGGGACGCGTACCAACCTATACAATATTTGTAAAATACAATGTTTATTTACATGAAATTCGAACATGTGCTGCACGATGACCACCGTCCTTTATTATTAATATAACAGGCTTGTGTAAACGATGTGAACATAACATCACTATTTTACGAGTGTATCTTTAACATCTTGCATATGACCTATTCCCTAGATCTCAAGATTTTGTGAGCCAAGAGTTTTGCAAAAATATCACTTTTCTACGCTAATATTCATAGTGTCTAGTGTCTCAAGTTGTTTTAGGCGTAAACTAATCATGGTTAAAAACCATAGCAGGCATTTCTCCCTTAGTTGGACCGCTCCCATTGATAGTTCGTTCACCCCATTTCAGAAAAAATATTTTTTTTTACCTTAATTGAAATGACCAATTTATAGTTATATGAGGTATTATTTTTATGCTATGAATTTGACTTCTCAGAGGTTGCATGAAAAAAATACAGGTACTGTTCCGAGTTGATCTAACATGTATAGTTGGATGAAGTTTTCTAAATACTGTAAAATACTTTATTTTAGCTAAAATTAATTTTCACTAAAAAGAAATTTTGAGTGTTTCGTATGAAGTTTAATTTCACAGAATTTTGATAAATCGAATGGAAAAAAAAATATTCCATCTCTTCAGCGAAAAAAAAGTATTTTACAGTAACTGGTAGATTATATTTGCTAAACTAAATTCATTGTTATTTGTTAGTGTTTAATTTGTAAATGAATAAAGTGTTTTTTTAAACCTTTGTTTGTTTGTTTGTTTGTTTTTCATCAACAATAACCTGCTGAATTACACTGGCAGTTTGAATAGTTTTACAAAGGTCACAGAAAAAAAAATCTACTTTTTTTTTTCATTCAATCTGTAATGTCTGTATGAGTATCAAATTACTATAAGAAACAGAAACTGGAATTGTGTATGAAACCTTGTTATGGTGATTTTTATGGGTGTGTCTGATATGCGTTTACTCAATTCAACAGGTGTTATCAATATGCCGAGCCTTTATATTTTCTGTATCTACCAAATCATCTGTAAAGGTGAGTATAAATAACTTATCAATTATTTTTACAGTGAAGATGTACTATATTTGACCTATTAGTAGTAATAATAAGACGAGTGTGTGTTTTTTATTGTCATATTTTAATGATTCAGCTCACGATAAATTTGATTTCGGATTTTGTTTCCTATTTGTAATAAATACAAACACAGTAGACTTTTGTAACCAATACAACAACAACAACAACAACAACAACAACAACAACAACAACCCAACCCAACCCAACCCATTCCTGCAGCGAAAATAGCGAAAATTAATTCCAAGCGAAAATAAAGTATTTTACAATATTTTTTGTCCCCTTAGCCTGTGCCGGGAAACAGGGTCTAACACAACTTATAAACAATATATTGTAATGATTAAGCTATGAGATGTTTGTTTAGTTATCTGATCCAGTGTTGTTCATACATACATGTCATCCGGAGGAGTATTTCCGGCTCTAATATTCAACACATCTTAGTAAATGATTTATAAATTGCTACAGTACTTGTTGTATTTTTCATTTGACCTCTGACCTCATTGAATTGATCCATGCTAATAGTGCTACATAAATTTTAAGCATCTTAAAAATCCATTAAATAGCATATCATGTCAGCCATTAGGCCAAGCCCTGTTCAGACTTGCAAAGCCATATGTCAGTTTTTCCCCAAATCAAAATCTGCGATGAGACTCAATTTTGTCCTCATTCTGAAACATATCCTAAAACAAGAACTGATAGCTTGTAATTTTGGGGCCAAACTTAATTTTGAGTCCTGCCTCACAGAGGTAATGTGTAACAAAAACAAAGGTCACTTGTGTTGACACTGATAATATTTTCTTCAATTGCTTTGATTTATCGATGAATTCTCTACTGCATACATTTGACATACCAGTAGAATGAACAGTCGTATACATTATAAATTATCCATTGATACATAAATATTATTAATTTTTATGTTTCTAAGCATGAATTATTTTTTTTAAGTGAAAAAATGTGTTTTAAACTTAATCTACGGCAACTTTATTTTTGTGTATTTTAAAACGAGGCTTCTCATTAGCTTCTTATTTGCATACAGAAATTTCCCTTGTGACGTCAGAAGGGGAAGTCGAACGGCAGCTTGCATTGCCGATACGTGTAAATAAGGCAAATTTTTTGTGCAGATTTCTCGTCTTTGACTAAATTTTCACTTATGTACTTGTTCGTCGAGGAGGAATGGACCATAATGAACACATAGTATCATTTTTTGTTGCATGGGGTTGAGTTAGATGTGAATTATATCCGTTCTGGTGTAGCTGGTCACCGTGATCGTCACCGGCGCACGTTTGTACACTGTCGCTGGACAAAATAGAATTGACCAAGCCCGGATTCTTATTTCATAAATTATTACGCAGATCAAGCTGCAAGCATGGAGGTAAAAAAAGAACAG